TTTTCCTCCATTCACACACACACACATATATATATATACATACATACACACACACACACATATATATATATATGTGTGTGTTATATAATTTGTAATTATCATAAGAGTTAAAACTTTTTTAATTTTCAAATTATGTTTGAACTTTATTCATAGGTCATGATCGAGTTGATTTTTGGGTCTTTTTGACAATGCCATCTTAAATTATGGCGAGGAAAGTTAACTTAATTTCTTTCTTAAATTTTAACGTGTGTGTATGTATATGTATATAATCCATATATATATATATATATATATAACTTTTTTTGGGGGAAACAAAAAAGTAATGTTTTTTTGTATATACGGCCAAATAAATATCATGTTATATGATTTAAATGTTGAACTTTAATTTAAACCATATAGTTGAGAGATTCAAATTTTTAAATTTTATAAAACCCTATTTTTCACACACACACACACATATATTTATATAATTATAAAATCCAAATATCTTTTACATCTCAAATAATAGCATTTCATAAAAATAATTTACTAAAATATTTTTTTAATTAAAACTTACCCATTAATCAATTAAGTGACATATAAATACTAATTATTAATATAATATAAAACAATTTTGAGAATAAGACCTCTCAATAATAAATTATTTGGAAGTTGACAAATTGGTTGAGTGTATAAAGAGAATCATAATTAAAGAAACAATTAGATATGCATGGTTGAAATTACTTTAAGCAAATTATAACTTTCTTGACCCAGAACTCATAATTCACTCTTGCATATATATATATATATATAGTATTTATATTTATGTTCACACAATTTTTTTCTTGAAGAAAAGAAAGTTTTGCAATATCATAAAAGTAGCTTTTCTCAAAAGGCACAATTATGAAGGAGAAATTTTCAAAAAATTTAAAAAAATAATAATAATAAAAAAAAATTATTATATCATGCAGTTGAATAAATTTAATTCCCGAAAAAAAAAAAAGAACCAATGAGAAAAAAAATTAAGAAAATAAATAAATGAAATTAATTAAAATGGAAAAAGGAAAAAGCAATCATTACTAGTGATTGTTAATTGAGAAATGGGAGCCACGGACAAGATGATTATTATAATTAATAGCTAATTAAGATTCTAATTAAATTTAATAAAAAAAACTCTGATCACGTATGCAGTTTGGACGGTGATTGTGATTGTGTTTAAATGAGATGGGATGTAGCGTAACAAATCTGTGGTTCAGTATTTTTGACTTGGAGAAAGTGGGTCCCAGCAGTGGCCACCACTGTGGACTCTTGTCTTTATGGATTGAATGATAAACAGCACCGCACGTGGAGTCTGAATCAAAGGTCTGAGCAACCACAAACCCAAATTTTAATCTCAAAAAAACCAAAAACCATCCCAATAAAAATCTACAACATACATACACATTCATATACATACATGTATGTATATATATACATGTATGGATATATATGTAGGAAAAAAAAAAAAAAAAAAAAAGGTTTTGCTTTTGTTATATCCCATCCTTATAATTCTCACTCATTGTATATGTTGCTTTAAGCTTGCCCACTTTTCCTTCTTTCTCTTTCTACAGAAAACAACTCAGCTCCCATTCGCGAGGAATTTTCAAGCTTTCCCTCTCTCTAATCTCTATCTTCTTGGTACAGTAAAGAAGACAGACCCACCTGGCCACCAGTTCACTGAATTTAGGGTCACCCCTACAGATATGTACTACTAAACAGAAAAAGCAAACAAAAAAATTTAAAAAAAAAAAAGAAAAAGAAAGAAAGAAAGAGAGAAGACATTGACATAGTCCCATTTGAACATGGATTCAGAAAATGGGATCCGCAGACCCAATTTCCCTCTCCAGCTTTTAGAGAAAAGAGAACACCATAATCATCAACAACCTCCATCTTCATCTTCTTCCTCGGTTTACAACACGTCTTCTTCTTTACTGGGTTCGACTGAATCCAACCCCAACGTCAACGCCAGCCGACAAGCAGTCAGTAACGCTCAAGAGTCGGCCGCTGCTAAGAAGCCGGCGCCCAAGCGGACCTCCACCAAGGACCGACACACCAAGGTTGAGGGTCGAGGGCGCCGGATCCGCATGCCGGCGACATGCGCAGCTAGGGTTTTCCAGCTCACTCGAGAGCTTGGCCACAAATCTGACGGAGAAACCATCGAGTGGCTCCTCCAACAAGCCGAACCCGCCGTCATCGCCGCCACCGGAACAGGTACAATTCCCGCCAACTTTACCTCCCTCAACATCTCTCTCCGCAGCTCCGGTTCTACTATCTCAGCTTCCCACCTCCGCAGCACTTACTTCCACCCCAACTTCGCCGCCCAACAGCTCAGGATCCGAAATGAGTGGGAGAGAAATTTCGTCCTCGACGAACAACAAAGAAGAAGCATCATGTTCCCCGTAGCTTCCGACGATAATCCCTTGTGTAATTTCCCCGGTAGCAGCAGCACTAATAGTAACAACAATGTCAGTGCTTTCTTGCGTGCCAAGCAAGAGCTCCGGGACGTGACAATGGAGGTAAGTCATGACGGCGGAGACCATTCCAGGAAACGGAGACCGTTAGTGGAGCAAGAAAACCAGATGGGTAACACTTATTTGATACAATCAAGCACGGGATCGATTCCGGCGAGTCACAGTCCAATTCCGGCGACGTTTTGGACAGTGGCGAGTCCTAGCAGCAGTCAAATGATGGTGGGGAGTGATAATATGTGGCCGTTCTCATCTATGAGTGGTAGTACTATTCCTAGTGGGGTGCATTTCATGAACTTTCCTACTCCTATTGCTTTATTGCCTGGACAGCAAACGACTCATAATAATTCGGTCGGGGGAGATAGTCATTTAGGGATGTTAGCCGCGTTAAATGCTTACCGTCCGGTTCCCACCGGCACTGGTAATATCTCCGGTTCCGATCAGGCCAGCGGGTCCCATCATCAGCACCATGGAGGAGGAGGAGAAGAGGGAGCATGACGCAAGTCAGAATTCTTCCCAATTACAAGTAGTGTATGGCTTGAATCTTGATAATATATCATATATCATATATATATATATATACACATATATATGGTTTTAGCTTTCTTACTTACCCTGATTAATTTTTGTTTGTTTCTTGGTTTTTATTATTAAGTATATATATATGTATATGTGCAAGTATATTTTTGCAACACAGGCGCAAGTTTGTTTGCTTGAAAATTGAGAGCTTGATACATATATATATGGTGTTCGATTTTGGTTGTGAGAGTAATAAAAAATTTTAGGGTTTGATGAATGACTATATACATATATAATTAACAATGACGTTAAATTATTCATCAAATTGTCTTGATTTCTTGGTGTGACTTGATCTTATCTTGGTGGGTTTTGTTAATTAATATATATCTTCAAGATTAGCTTTGAATTACATACATGATTCAAGAAATAGCTACTTAAATTATATATATTTCATGCAATGTTAATGTCATTGATCAACATTAATACTATCAGTCTTCTATGTGTATATATATGCATATATGTATGTATATGTTTGAATTTAATGGCTATATGATCAGTGACAGTAAGCAATTGGGTGTTTTGTTGCTGCATTTGGGTGCCCATGAAATTAACACATTCACCGGCCTCCATCCATTTTGATTTGTATAAATATATATGTATATATATCGGCCATGAGCATTTTGTACCCTCTGATCACATAAGCAAAAGGGACCCATCCAGTGGGATTCTAGGATGTAGGAGCCCACGCATGAGCTCTCTCAGGTGTTGAGGCAATTCTATACATATATATATGTGTATATATATACTTGTGTATACGACTGTACATGTCCATATTGCTTAAAAGAAATGTACAGTCTCTGGGAAGAACCCAAGAGGATCATTCCTCTTTTCTCATATATATATATATATATATATATATATATATACACATAGATGCGGAAGTTTGGTGAGCAAATATATTTATATTGATGGGTATTGACCCTACTTGGTTTGTCCCATACATTCAACCATCTCTGATTAGATATGGATTATGATCATTTGTACTATAATATACAGACTATAAATAGTATATTTTTCTATGTAATTAGTGAGCCATGCAATTATATTATATAATATAGCTGTAGAGTTCTTCTGAAATAATTTACTATGTTTATATACATGGCAAAATTACATGTACAAAGATAGGTAGGATTATTTAATCAGTTGGTTTTACTTTTGCTGCTGTGGTCCAGATAGTGTTATCTTAATTTGGTTACTTGTTCATTAATTTGGGTTGTAGAGAACCCAAATCCTTCTTTTTGGGATTTTCAAAGGGTTTTTTTCGTGTAACTTTATAACCACCCTAAATATCATAATAGATTAAATTAAAACAAGCATCGATACCTGTTTTATTAATAGAAAAATATTTTTTCTTAACTCTGCATATCGAAATATATCACAACAGTATGATATAATACTAGATTCTAGATAAATTTCAGAAGAAAAATAAGACAACCAACGAAATGAGGTATGACCCAACCATTGATGCCATAATGATCAACACACTTCTCATGTTGCCAACAATGTGAAGATGTGAATTGTTTAGTAAATTTACTAACAGGTAATACGTGGTATTTGAATTTATATATATGTAAAATAACTTTGGCAATGAGGTTGGAAGATACTTTATCGTAACTAACACAGAAAACTAAAATAGAAGACCCATTAGACAATTGAACAAGTAAAGGGTGAGTCGATGAAGTAAAATAAAGGAACTTAGATAAAAAAAGATATGATATGTTCATATGTACCACCATCAATTATCCATTCATAATCATGATTTTTATTTAAGAAAATCTTACCGTTAATATGAACTTAATCATCTTGATCAAGGTAGAGAAGGAAGATAAATTATTGACATTGTTTTGGTGTGAACGCAAGTGGTTGTTCTGATTGCATATTTTTATTAAAAGGGTGGCCAATTCGTGCGCAAGGGATTATTTGTACGTTGTTGGCCTGGATCGCATTATTGATAGCATGAGGAGTGTTTTGATCATAAAAGACCCCATTAGAAGTTGTAATTGCATTATTAATATATGAAAATTAGTTAGAATGAGGTCTTGATCCAAGGTGATCAAATCTGTCTCGGTTTTGCCAATTAGCAAGATAACTAATAAATTTGAAACATTCGTATTTGAGATGACCTGGTTATGGCAATATACACAACATTCTTTAGATTTGAAACATATATTAACGCTAGTTCTAACGGCAAAAGCAACAATCTCAGCAATTTTAGTTTAATAAAAAAATGTATAATTATTATTGTTCTTCTTGAATGATCAAGGAATCTTCTTTAAAAAGAAAAGGTAAAGGTTAATCGTTTAGGATTTGAGAACATACAATACCAAAGGCATCATTAAGTCCACTAAAAATGGTGCACCTTTCTTGTTCATCCTGAAGTCCTTTCAACTTGGTATGATAAGCAATAATAGAACAATTTTCTTATTTCAAGAAAGATAATGTTTGTTTTAATTGATAAATATACAGCACTTTACCTTCAAATAATCTTTTTTCAAGTTGACCAACATTTTGTAAGTCATTTCATTATAGGTTATGTTATTTTATAAATCTCTATAATAAGTTAAAAGTCATGATATAACTATGAAATTATAATTTTACTGAATATAAATATTTAGTGAATCTACTGAAGGATTTAGTGAAGAACAATCAATAAAACAAAATTTATTTTTGGCACGAAGAGCATCAGTAACAGCTCTTGTCAAGTAGAATAATTATTTATATGGGAGAGGATCTGAAGTATAATTGGCTCTTAAATTAGCATAAGACTGTGGAAAGAAATGTGAGAAAGGATAAAGCATAATTTGAGTTGAACATTG